ATGAGCACAAGGGGATGACAGGAACCCTAAACTTTTGGGGAAAATACATTTTTTGAATGTATGTGCATTTTTTGAGAGCTGTCTTCTGTCAGAAGTAAAATGGTAAAGACAGGAGCACAAAGGGAGGGGAAACACCTCGGCTCTTTCTCTTCATCTTTCTCTTGTGAGCATCATTTTAGCCATGCAGGAAAATAAAAATAGAGTAACCCAGAGTATTAAATTTCATCCTAATATTGCAAATTAAGGACTGGAGCTTCCCAAGCAGATCTGCAGCCTGTTCCTCAGGGCTTTGCTGGGTGTTGTGCCACGTCTGGGGCTCAGGGAAGGGGTGAGAGCCCCACATAATTCAGATCAGACATTGCTACAGGATCAAAACAGGTCACAGGGAGGAATTTAATACTTTCAGCACATTTTTCCACACAGAAACCAGATTYYATTTAGGAAACATGACTTTTACATMAGCCTTTTATCAGTTTTCACTTCAACATGTGGCTAATAATTTATTGCTGGTAGAAGTAAAAACTGGGAATGTGCTGTACTTCTTCTTTTCCTTGACCTTCTAGGTTTTCATCATTATTTATAGATTCCTGCAATGTATTCAAATAATTTTCTGAACMAAAAAAAAGAGAGAAAATCTTTCATGAGGGAAAAAAAACAAGAAGGGACATGCTGAGTGTAATTTCTGTCAGCAGATGTGCTTAATTGATGAAAATAACTGCAGAATAGTGTTTGGGTGTGTTTGAAATAAAATTGTTGACCAATGCAAGTTTTAAATAGTTCTGCTATAATTAATGCATAGCCTATGCAGTGCAGTCAGTGAATTATTTTACAATTTGCTCCTGAAATAAAACACTGTTCCCTCGATTAATTTGTGTAATAAATCTGGTAATTTTATATTATGAATATTAGTGTCTGGATGCAAAGAAGGATGAAAAGCAAATTTCAGGAGTTCTAACAGCAGGATGAAATAATMAAATACTGAAGAGCTATGATTTAAAGGAAGCTAATTGCTGAAATAATAATATGTCCACCTTATGTAATGCTTCTCTACCAGAGGGATTGGTGAAAGTCAAAGAGGAGAAACAGCTGGAGGACAGCTGGGAGGCAGCAAAGAAACCTTGGACAATCTGCAGGAACCCTGAGGAAATGAGAGCCAGGACAGAGCAAAGGGCTCAAGGGTTCCACCATCACAGAAAATCAGMGTTTAGCCCCTGATCCAAAGCCATTCCCACCAACAGGAAGAGTCCTGTGTTGTGTTCTCTTGTGTCTCCAAAACCCTGGTGTCCACAGCTGGGCTGCAGAGCAGGATTTATTCCTGACTTTGATGCCTGATGATTTTTGCTTTTCCTTTTTACGCTTTCTGTACCCTCCATGCATCCCCTGTACCCCTTAGCCCACATGTTTGTAATCCCTGTAGCTGATATTCCAGCTTAGTTTAGGAGTTCTGCTGGGCAGAGACCAAACATCCTGAGGAAGGGGTCAGTGTGCCCTGTGCTATCTTAAACTCGAGCTCAGCCTTGGGTGAAGCTTAAATCCAACTCCAGCCTTGGGTGAAGCCTTCTGTCCAGAACATCTTGTGTAAACTGAGCTCTGACCTCATCCAGGATTCATTAGAATAGGGGGACATTACTGCATTTGTGAAGTTTCTTATTGGGGAATCCTAGATAGATATGCTAATTCCTGAAACCTATAAAACTTGTATCCGTGCTGTACACGGTGTGCATTCTGCCATCAAGTTGTGCACCTGGGATCCCAAACACCGAGGTAAAACCCTTTTTATCCCCTTAACCGTGTCTGTGTCATTATTAAAAACTGGCCTTTCAAGGCAACACTTCCCCCAAAAAGGAGCATGGTGGGGATGTTTGCAGGTTCCTACAGTGTCAGAGTAACAATCAGAAGCTTAAAAAGAGATGTGATTCATTGGTGAGGGCTGAACAGTGTGTTTTCCCCTGGGTGAAGGGTTCTGCTCCTCTGCTGTTTGTAGGATTTGGATCCATGGAAAAGGCTTTGAGCTGAGAGAAGCTGGGTGCCAGGCAGCTGAGCTGCTCTTTTAATTGGAGCTGGTTATGAAATGATCCCATCTTGGCAACAACAGCATCTGCTAATTGTAACTGCCTGTTCTGAATTTGTTACTCAGTCGAGTTGCACCGGCACTGAATGTTCCTCCCAACATATTTTTTCCCTCCCCACTAAGAGTGAATCATGCAGGACGTTTTCCTGTGAAACCTGTGCAGTCCAGACCCAGTTATAAGAGGAGATGAAGTTAAAATCAGAAATGTGTGTGATGGTGCAAATTTGCTGAAAGTGCAGACACTCACTCCCCTGTCCAACACTGCTGCTTTGTTTGTTTGTTTGTTTGTTTGTTTGTTTGTTTGTTTTCCCTCTGTTTCAGCACATTCTTGGGTTTGTTTTGGAACTTGCACGGGGTTAAACATTTGGCTGATTTGGGGTTTGGATTGCTCACTGTCCACAGTGCCACCTGCATCCCAGATCTGTTGGACATGGAGCTGCTATGAGCACTTGAGCTGTAAAACACCAAAATTTTATCAGATATCTGCATTTTTAGAACACGTGACTGTGCTGATTTTATGTGCAGCCATGTTGAATCAACTCCTGACCTAATGAGGAAATTGTTAATTGGACAAAACAAATTCTCTGCCCAACCTGATTTCTTTTCCAAAGTGTGTGTCAGTGGGAGAAATTCCTTTTAAAATCTGCAGGGATTCTGCATCAGGATTTGTGTCCCACCAGTGAGCAGGAGCAGCACTGAACTGGGTACTGCCAGACCAGAGGGACAGCAGTGGGCAGGATGCAATTATTTTCCCTAAAAAAYTGGATTTAAAAACAAAGAAATACAGAATCTCCATGGAAATGGGTGGCATCACCATGCATGGGACCCTGGAGAGATCTGATTCATAGATTCCAGACTAGGATTTTGTCTGATTTATCATCTCACTGGACCTACGGTAGAGAATTGCTGGCAAAAAAAAAATAAATGTTAGTTCTCAAAAATAAAATAAAAAAAAATCTGATGGACCTGTGTGTAAATCAGCAGAAACTGCACTTTTTACTTGGCAAATGTAAATGCCTGGCGTTGAAAGTCAGCTTGTTCCACTTGTGTTGGAACACCCCCACGAATAATCCTCTGCAGTTCCTCTGGTTTGAATCATAAGGTCAGTAGCAAGATAAGCCCAAGAGATTAATCCCAGTCACGTCATCCCAGATGTGCCACAACTGTGCTTTTGTGCTCCTCAGCTGACAGCAGGGAGGGGAGCACTGGGCTCTGCAGGACGCTGTGCAGGTGTCCAGCTGGGAGAAGGGGCAGTGCCAAGGTTCCCAAGGGCACCAGATGTGCCAGATGTGTGCCAGGGTGCCTGCCAGATGTGGCTCTGGGCAGTGGTCACTTCACTGAGCTTTGTGCCATGGCAAGGACACGGGGACCTTGGCAGGGTTTAAGRAATGGAGTCGTGAAAGATGAAAATCTGATTAAAAACTAATTTAGGCCTTGATTAATCTGAGCATTTAAAGATGTGCCTGAAATTCGGGGTGCCAGAGCCCTGTGGGCATCGAGAGGGTTCTCCCACATCTCTAAACACTCACATAGGTGTCTGTGCACACCCATCCTCCGTGACCTGTGAAACACAGTGACCACATCCACACCATCTCAAGGGTCAAACTGCCCCAAACCATCCAGATATCCCAAAGGAGCCCTGCTGGCCTCTGCAAAGCACTGTTGCTTCCTCCTGGTTGAGCCTGGGTATCCCACAAGGGGATTCTTCCATTCCCATCAGGAAATCACTGCCTCTCTGGAAATCATTCACCTCRTTATTTATTATTTACACCTTTGGATGCTTCTGAGCTCAGCTCATTTTYAAGAATTCACCTCTATTTCACCTCTAGAATTTTCACCTCTATTTCTTATCTTTCTTCCAGAGAAACCATCACCGTTCACCAAAAAATAGAACACCAACTCTTTTTGATATGGTCAATAAGCTTGGGCTCTTTTTATTCCTCATTTTTATTTTAAATAAATATATGAAAAAGAAGTTTGAAGACTTTTGCCGTCTAATACGATATGTTTACAGTCTGCAGACAGACCACGACTGCATCTCAAGCAAATGCTCTTGCAAGCAGTATGTGTCTGACACAAAGCAGTGCAATTTGTTARTTATGGATTGATCATCTGGCTACCAGCAAACTTGGAAAGCTGTCACATACAGTGGTTTTGTTTYAAGCTTTAAATACAGAATTGGGATTTGTCTGGATGGTGGATGAGCTCTGGATAACCACACTGCTGTGCAGCCCTGAMAGAATGTGTCCTAACGCCTGGCTCAGGATGCTAACTGCAAGAACATTGGAAACTCAAAGGCAAATAAAACCACGAGTGTGTTTGTGCCAGCAGAAGCTGGTTGGTTTGTTACTCATTSAGCATCAGGTGTCCAGCAAGATGCGTGAGCGCTACAGACAGAGTTTATTCTTGGCAGTCATCGAGAAGAACGAGCATTTATCGCTGAATAAACTCTGATTTTTGACTTTCTCCCAAACTCCAGCTCCAGGGGGGTTTTTTGGAGCTGGCTGTGTGGGCTCTCACCATGCCAGGAGAGAGCAGAGTGCTGTCACCTGTGCTGTTGCTTCGTTTTGTGTGTTTTGCTGACGTCCAGGTGTGCATTTTTGCCTTGTATGTTTTGCTGATATCCAGGTGTGCATTTTCACTTTGGGTGTTCATTCTGTTGACATCCAGGTGTGTATTTTTGCTTTATGTGTTGTGCTGATGTCCAGATGCACATTTTTCCTTTGTGGATTTGTTCTGCTCATGTCCAGGTGTGCATTTTTGCCTTGTGTGCTCTGCTGATGCCCAGGAGTGCATGTTTGCTTTGTGTGTTTGTTCTGCTGACATATAGGTGTGCATTTTCGCTTTGTGTGTTCTGCTGACATCCAGGTGTGCATTTTTCCTTTGTGTGTTCATTCTGCTGATGTCCAGGTGTGCATTTTCACTTTGTGTGTTCTGCTGACGTCCAGATGCACATTTTTTCTTTGTGGGTTCGTTCTGCTCATGTCCAGGTGTGCATTTTTGCTTTGTGTGTTCTGCTGATGTCCAGGTGCCCATTTATCCCTCCCTCCCCGATTTCGGGAGTGCCCCCAGGGCTCAGTTCCCAGTGTAGATGTATTTTATGGGGGACCCCTGCCCATCCAGGCCCAGGCTGTCGCTCTCGTTGAAGGCGTCGCTGTCCCCGGAGCGATTGGCGCTTTTAGCCCGGCTCAGCCGCGCCTGCAGCCGCTCGTGYTCCTTGCGCAGCTCCGAGTAGGAGTGCGAGAAGGTGTGGAAGATGGAGGTGGCGGGGAAGGACATGATGAGGATCCCGCTGAGGATGCTGCTCAGAGCCACCATCTGCCCCGGCACGCTGCGCGGCACCATGTCCCCGTACCCCACGGTGGTCATGGAGATGATGGCCCACCAGTACGAGGCGGGGATGCTGGTGAACTCCAGCACCCTGCCGGATTCATTCTCAGCCAGATAAACCAGCGGAGAGAAAAGGGTGACGGCCACACACAAGAAGAGCAGCAGCAGGCCGAATTCACGGGTGCACTTGCGCACGGTGAGCCCCAGAGTCTGCAGCCCCAGCGAGTGCCGCGCCAGCCGCATCACGTAGAGGATCCTCAAGGCACGCAGCACCCGCAGCACCAGCCCMACCTTCTCCAGGTACGTGCCGCCCCCCAGCCTCTCCTCCTCCTCACCGGGCTCATCCTCGGAGAAAATGAGCGAGGCGTAGTAAGGAGAGATGGCCAAGATGTCGATGATGTTCAGGGGGCCTTTGAAGAACTGGCACTTGCTCCTGGCCTGGATGAAGCGGAGGCAGAACTCCAGWGAGAACCAAGCCACGCAGATGGTCTCGATGACAAAGATGTAATAGCACTTCTGGGAGCACTCGCCCTGATGGGGAGCATGAAGAGAAAGAGAGAAAAGAACAGTGCTGTGAGCCAGCAGACAAAAACACGCAGGGAGGAGTGATATGGAGCTGCCTGAGTCACTGGAGCTGGAGATAAACAAATCCCAGCTCACAGGGACCGGGCAGCTGTTCTTCAGTGATGGACAGAGAATACCGAGCACCTGAAATGTCTGAATAAACACATCTGATTCATTTGACTATGCTGTGAAGCCTACACAAATTAAACCCACCTATGTATAAAGTCCAGGCTGTAAGTCCTGAACAATTCCCACTTTTGCAGCACTTGGGAGTAACAAGTGTTTTTGTTCAGGCAGTGGTTATGGGATTGGCCAACAGAGGTTCACCCCTCCTAACCCTCAGAACTATTTCACTCTGCAGCACCGTTTGGGGATTTTTCCWTTYTGCACAGCRAACTGTCGAGCCCATATTTTACCTCGAAAATGAAACACCACAAAAGCTCCCGAAGGCTTGGCCCTGGCAGAGCTCTGCCCTGCAGTGGCTCCATCTGCAGTCGGTGCTGGAGTTGGTGGATGTTTGCAGAGCTGCTGAGTGGGCTGGAGGAGATTGCTGCACTCAGCAGTTGTGATTGTGCTGGGTTGTGCAGTGCTCGCTCTTTCTGAGCCCTGAATTGTTGGTTCAGTGCAGCCTGGACCAGCACAAACCTGCCTCTGGTCACTCGAGCAATGTAGCCTCTGAATTATTCATTGCTCCCTTCCAGATTTATTTCATTTTTTRTTAACTGGGCTGAATTTCCGGTACATCTGGTATTTATTTACCTTTATACCTTAGCAGGAGATATTGCACTCAGATCATCACATGGCTTTCCCTATTCCTTCCTTAGAAAATAAGAAAAGAAATTTTGTKTTCTGGAAGAAATTTTATTTAAGCTTCGGGAGTTTTAGCCATTAAGATTTAGGGTGCCTTTTGAACTGAGTATGAAATTTCAAGGTGTAGCATTGTAAGGACTGGATGGAATATTTTTAATTCTTGCCACTCTCAGTGACCTCAGWATTCCCTATGGAAATTTATATTTACTTAGAGAAGGTAATTTATGCTGTCAGCATAATGAGAACCTGCTCATTGACTTCACATTGGGAGATGGATTTGATCCCATGAGTTTGGATGTGAATGTTTTATATATTAGGAACATTTGTATATATAATGGAATGCACCTGTTTTGCTTTATATGGAATATCCCCTTTAAACCTTCTTCCTCCTTTTGAACATCCCATTCAAAAGCAGCAAGTATTGAAGTAAGAGGGTTTTTTTTTTAATAATGATTTTTTATTTTTATTTTTATTTTTATTTTTATTTTTATTTTTATTTTTATTTTTATTTTTATTTTTATTTTTATTTTTATTTTGGTGGTCTTTTTACAGCACCACAACATCAATCAGTGCTCAGCCTGTCACTGACTTGGATGGGAAAACAGTTATGACAGGCCCAGTAGTGAGTGTGTAACTCTTGCTGCTTTATTCATCCCACAGATTTACTTTTCTACAATGCAAGAATTTATCAGGATTTATGGAACTTGCCTCCAGCAGAAATTCTACAGCCTGTGATACAAATGTAATAAAATGAGTGCCTGGTATTGATCTTCTGCACGAAATGAGCATTTGGCTCAGCAATGAATGAAACAATATTTTGTATATAAAAAGATAGGCACTGAGCCTGATGCCTGAAATATTGAGTGGTTTCTTAGATTTACAAACCACCTCAAAGAAGCAAAGGAGTTGTTTCAAACTCCTCTGCCACCAGAGATAATCAGCAATTCAAGCTTCYTTTTCATTATTCCCCTCTGGTGTATAGGAGAGTGGCTTGTTTTCCGTGTTCTCTTCAGTGCTGGAGTTTATGGTGTTACTGTGAGAATGCTCATTTTAGGATAATTCTGCTAACTTCTCTTTTTTTAACAGTTGATAATAAAATAGAAGAGCAGCAGTACTGAGTCCAGTTAGCCCAGTGCCCTGTTCCAGCAGCTTGAGGAAACGTGCCCAAAGCAACTCTGTGGCTTCTATTTCCCACTCACAAAATCCCARAATGGTTTGGGTTATTAAACCATTAAAGGAGGAACCTTAAAGATCATGTTGCTCCAAACCCCATCCARCCTGGCCTTGGATACKTCCAGGGATGGGTTTACAAAAWATRAATKTATTCACTAATTKTGARTTCCAGCTAAATGTGCTTGAGATATGTGCCACTCACAAGATCAAAAGAGATCATTTCCCGGCCTCTTTGTTTGCCAGGAAACATTAATTAGAGTGTAATGACATCTAGGGTAATAAACAAATTCAGATCCCAGAGTTATGCAGCACTAAACTAACTTACAACAGGTATAAATCTCATCTGGTGAAAATAATATCTTTACATGCATCAGTAATTTTAGTAATGCCCAGGGAGACTGAATCAGAATTTCTCCTGCAGAATATATATCTCATCTACCCATGCTGGTTTCCAGATGCTGCTCATTTTTTTTATGTGTTCTAGACAAGRAAAAACTTTATCATTATTAAATAAATCTATGACACCACCAAGGACCTACTCTTGCTCCTTTGGGGTCTGCTCTGTGCTGATCATTTGTGTTCCACCTTTCTGCATTCTAAGACACTTTACAATTAAAAACTTGTTCTGAATCATTACCTGATCCACCAGTTAGTGTCTTCTGCCCAAGATTTACCCCCATTCCTTTTACAGTGAGTATTTACCCTTTACCCCCTCTTAATCTGAAGTACAATGAGGAAAGAAATCAAAATGTTCCCATTATGYTGGGAGTGCAGTGCTGCAGCTGAGTGAGGACAGAACTGGATAGATGCCAGCTTTCTGTTCTCAGTGTGATTGACTCTAAGTGGGAGCTCATTGGCAGCAATCTGAGCCTGTTTTCTGTGGTTTTCTGTGCAATTTGGGATTTCCCAAATCTATAAACAGGGTGGGGACAGAGTGTAAAACAAGCAAAGCGACAGCATTTCCTGTGACCTGTGCCTGCCAGTGAACCCTGCTCAGGATGGTGTCAGGGATTCTGARTGTTCCTTGTGCCAAAGAATCTATTCCCAAATTGCACAGCAAAAGTTCCTCCACCTTGCTAATAAGCACAGCTTGAGTAGTAGTATATGGATTATTTCAGAATTATATTGTAGAGTTCCCAATTTCCAGAGCTTTAGAGTGGAAATCAATGTTTACATCAGCACAAGGTGTGGATGTTGCTTACACAGCACACTTGTGAGAGAGGCATCTCGTGTTATTTATGAAGCCAAGCTGGTAAAAAAGTCCTTGAGCCTGGCTGGAAGTCACGGGTGAACCACTGTGTGCAAACACTGCTGCTCTCAGGGTGTGTTTGTGGGAACCAGCTGGCTCATTATCATCATCATCATCAAACAAATGAGCCCTGGGCTGAAGGGATCCAAGCCCGGTTCCCAGCCAGATCTGCCTGGGATGAGCAGTGACTGGTGCTTGGTCACTCAACACAATGGAGCCAGAACCAGGCAGGGAAGGAGCTCCCAGCTCAGCTCATTTGCTCCAGAAATGCTTTAGGATTTCCTCTCTATTTCCATGTCTCTGTACCCCTGTGATCCTTCAGTGTTTAACTCCAGACTCCACAGRCAGTGCTGAGCTCCTGCTCTCTCATTTTTACACAAAACAATTCCTCTGCAGCCCCAAACTCAAGGACACCTCCCTGGGCCAGGCCCCAAGAGATGGAAACAACAGAGAATTGGRGGARCCARSTTGGAGTBWWTGACTGCATTGGCTGCAGCTGCAATTGGAGGATTCAGCCCCGATGTGCAAATGGACAAAAGTGAGAAAGGGAGAAAAACCCATGAGCCATTGTCCATTGTGGGCGTGGGACTGCCCTGGATGGCCCTGAAGGTTCTGCAATGAACACAACTGCTTTGGATTCTCTCAATTCTGTCCAGCCTCTGCTTTAGGGAGCTGATTTTAGGTATCACTGAAGTGCTGAAGGAGTTTCCCTACCCATAGGACCTGCACTTTCCCAGTAAAGGATGGGCTGCCAGAACATCACTGGTCACACCAGGAATGTGCCCAGCTCTGTGGCCAAGGCCAGGAGCTGATCCTGGCAGGGGCAGGTTTGGTTTGGCTGTGCTCAGATCGTCCCTCTGGTGCACACAGGGCTCTGTGGCCACGGGCCAGTGTCCACCCGAGTGGCAGCAGATGGCACCAGCCATCCCGACCTGCCTGCTGCCAGGCTGTGCTGTCCAGCTCTTATCCCAGCAGGACTGCTCTTCCTGCAGCCTGGCCCTTTGGCCAAAACCAGCCATTCCTGTGTGTGCAGGATTTAGGAGTACAAGCGGCAGGGATTTCCCTGTCTCAGCCCGAGGTTGGTGTTTCCTGGGATGGTTTCTGGGTTTGTGTGTGTTTCTCTCACTCCTGGGTGGTGCAGYCTGCTCTGGAGCTTCTCCCTGAGAAATTCCCTCTGTGGGGAAACACGAACCAAAGGGACAGTAGGAACAAATCAAATTCAGATTCTCCAGACTGACTCTCACMGTGTTTGCAGACTAAGGACTCGAGCCTAAAAGTTAATGGAAACATTTTATTTTAGSTACACCTCTGCCTTAGAGGGGATAATTATTTGCTGGRCACAGAGTAATAATTTCTTTYTAACGTCCACATTAACACAATACCAATATTAGTTCAGTTCCCTGGGCTTCTTGTTGCTGTCACACACCCAAGGATGCTCTAGAGAGGGGTGAGGTGGGGCAGGGGCAGAGCAAGACCTGGGGGCACAAACTGGTGATGCCAGCGGGCTCCAGGCTGTCCTCATCCCTCTGGCAGCAGGGAACGAACAGATCCAAAGGAGAAATCCCTTCTGGCTGCAAAGGGATGGCTGGGTCAGGARCTGTGCTCCCTGCATACCTGAGCTCTGGGGATGATGCAGCTGCAGTGCTGCAGGTACTGCTGAATCACCGCGGCCGCATTGGCGCTGCTGTTGGAATAATTAAACCGTGCTCTGCTGAGCCAAACCACGGCCAGGGAG